GGCAGACTGGATGGTGATTTCGTCTCTGTTTTCAGTAGAAGCTGGCATCCCAGTAGGGTTTGCCTGAATGATTACCTTTGGTGAGGCTGCTTCTGTTGGACTAGTGGTGGTTATTAATGGTGCACCGGCAATAACTGACTCAACTGTCATAGTTGAAATTTTCTGATGTCATGACTGCAGGTACTTGCATTGCCCCACGTACTGTCCTTGGAGCTGCTGCTGTTGCTGACACAGATTTGGTAGTAGTAGGAGACCTGGAGGAAGCATGGTGACCAGGGGAAATGATATTCACAACTCCAGGTACAACCTTCTCTGCTCTGGAGCAGTTTATAGGAGATGAGTTATTTCCACCAAGGACAGAAGTTGCTGCTTTCAGGACACTCTCTGCAGACAGTGACACTCGTTCTAATGACTTGCATCAGAAGCTGCTGCTAAACCTTCATTACAAGTCTGGCATTTGTCATCATCTATGACCAATCTGTTTGAGGGCATATCCTTGCACTGATATACAAGCCTCTGTCCTTCAGCCTTTTCAAAAATTTCCCTACAGTAATAAGATCTAAAAGCCCATCCCTTGGCTTCATAATTCATGTCTGGCTTGTTCTTACACTTTTCCCAAAGCTTACAGATAGTGTTTGAATACAGAGGCTTAAATATGGCTTTTTCTCCCTAAGCCCATGTAATATACCTGGACAAATATTTTTCAACATTGAGGCTTTGCCAGAGCATACCAGAACCATACAATCAGAGCTAGGGTCTATCAACCAATCAGGGCTCAGTGGCATTGGCCAATTAGAGCTCAGCAATTTCAATCCTTCGTTTGCATAAATGGGCTTTATTAGGAAGTTCGGAGGGAAAGTTTACTATTAAAACCCGACCACTCTCTTCAGTGTAATTGGTTTCATATCCAAGGCAGCCTCTCCAGGGATTGCCAAGTGTTCACTGGCACAATAAGAGCTCTGTCCTCCAAATTCCTTTTCAGGGAACTTTTGTTCACACGCCTGTCTCCACTGGCTCAGCCAATGACGGAACTACAGTCTCTGAGCCAGAGTCACTGGCCAAAAGTGACTTCCAATTTGGAGCCGGGGGTGGGGGCAGGTGGCGTGTGGTGTCCTACACATTTTTTGTGCATTCTTTTCCGTGAACCAAACATTGTCAGCTCTCATATATCTATAGCGCAGTTTGCTCCGAGAGAACGTGGTGGATTTTCCACAGTCGTGGAGCATATCTTCAGTTTTCTAAACGGTCACTTTTATTAGTTATTTTTCTAGGTTCTCGTTTATGGGAACGTTTTCGTTTTACTCATAGTTTCCTTTTTCACTCTCATGCTCTCTCGCGTGTACAGTGGGATTTTCCTGACTTTCATTGTGTGTGATATGGCAACAGATCACGTCCAGAAGCAGTTACAAGAATCCAGCTGACTTTTCCTAGGTAAGAAGTCTAGGGGATTTTCAATTATCTAAAAGAAAGTCGATCACCACTCTACGGCTTTAGAAAAAATATTTTTTCATGTGCGTTTGTAATTTATGTTAACATGAGGTGATAGGTTTTGTTTGTTTGTTTGTTTGTTTGTTTGAGATGGAGTCTCGCCTTGTCACCCAGGCTGGAGTGCAGAGGCGTGATCTCGGCTCACTGCAACCTCACCCTCTCGGGTTCACCCCATTCTCCTGCCCCAGCCTCCCGAGTAGCTGGAACTACAGGCGCCTGCCACAACGCCTGGCTAATTCTTCGTGTTTTTAGTAGAAACGGGGTTTCACCCTGTTAGCCAGGAAGGTCTCGATCTCCTGACCTCGTGATTCACCCGCCTCGGCCTCCCAAAATGCTGGGATTACAGGCTTGAGCCGCCGCGCTCAGTCGTGATAGGTTTTTAAGTACTACTTTAAAGTGGATTTTAAGATAAATTCATCAAAATTTCTGTTCTAATAATTTTGAAGTAAATATTGGCAGATAAAACTTACAGAAAAGATTTTGGGGTTCCTACTAATTTTTAGAAGTGTAAAGCTATTCTGAGAAAAACTGTTCTAGATATTTGATCATTTGCAAGATAATCAGATCAGTTGAAAACACTTAGCCCCCTTTTCCGTGGTTAAGCCTTTTGAAAAGTCCAATGCCCGGTATTCATCAAGACTTTGAAATCATACCGCTGATAGAAAGCTTTTTTGTCACCTTCTTGACCCTCATAGGAATGACAGTAGCATTTCATCCTCAAACATGGTGTTGGGCTTTTGTTTGAGGTCAGTAGCATCTTTTCTTTTCTAGGCATTTTAGGTAAAGTAAGAGATACCAAATATTCACACATGCCATTTTAGCAACCTTTGAGATTTACATTTTAAAAAATATTTCTTGGTTTATTCATATAAATCATGTTTATAGATTTTCTAATATTAAATCATACTAGCTTTCTGGGAAAGAAATTCCTTCCTGTGGGTGGCTTCCCTGGATATTAATTAGGTTCCTTCCTATGCCTCGTCATGGTGAAATTCTTGACTGTGCACGGTCACCAAGTGGTTAAGCTCGGGTTTCTCATGACTTTCATACCCTTGGCCACTTGCTTCCTTCAAAAGTCCCCAAGGCACCACTGTGTCCTGGGGGACTTCAGGTTCCCAGAAGCAGCCTGGATGCAAGGCTCAGATGGGCTCCCTCTGCAGCAAGAACCTGGGCTGTGGTGTGGGACAAAACAGGGGCTAGGGAAGTGCGCTGGACCCCTCGAAGAGCCGTTCCTCCACCTGTTTTTGTCTGAGTCTCCAGCTCTCCACACCGCTCACATTTCAGGCACAGTTGTGCTGAGAGAGCAGGCTGTACTCAACTCTGCCCACCCTCAACTATGGCAAGCTATGCATTCCAGGCATTATTCCACCCCTGGAAGATACAACCACAAATTTGGCCCGCTAACTTTTCTAAGGTTTTAGATTCTCAGCTATCTACACACAATGGCCAAAAAGCCTCACGTGCTCCCGTGGCAGATGGAAGACAGGAAATCAAAAGATATCCAGGGATGGGAAAAGGGTCAATAAGAAATTGGTACTCACCAAAAGTCACACAAACATTAAACCATGAAGAGATGGTTTCCTGATCAGGAATGCAACCCATGATGTAGAGGTGAAAGCTCAGAATTTGAACTCAAAGGCCGCAAGGTGAAGTGGCCTTTGTTTTTATTCTCACAGGGGCAGTTTGAGCAGACACAGGAATTTAACTTTCTTTAGGTCAGATTTTTTGCTCTTTACTTTCGTCAAGAAGAGTTTTAAGGCTAGCTGTCACACCATTATGAGTCTTTTTATACATTTAACCTTTTAATACTTTTAATAAAATTGAGGAGGTTAATTTAAGGGATCGATCTTTTGGCCATTGGCAATTATAATTTTTAATAGTGTACTGAATTTCAATAGTGACTGGATGCAATAGGCTCTTCAGAGAAGAAGTAATCCCAAAGATTCCCCCTGTTCCCAGACATAGGCTAAGACAACAAATGACTCCTGGGATTGCTGTTTACCAGCATTCACTAGCTAGACCAGCGGTCCCCAACCTTTCTGGCAGTGTCTTGGAAGACAATTTTTCCACGGACCGGCATTGGGAGGACGGTATTGGGATGATTCAAGGGCATTACATTAATTGCGCACTTTATTTCTATTATTATAACATTGTAATATATATTGAAATAATTATACAACTAACCATAATGTGGAATCAGTGGGAGCCCTGAGCTTGTTTTCCTGCAACTAGACGGTCTCATCTCAGAGTGATGGGAGAGGGTGACATATCATCAGGCATTAGATTCCCAAAAGGAGTGTGCAACTGAAGATCCCTCGCACGTGCAGTTCACCATAGGGTTCTCGCTCCTATGAGACTCTAATGCTGCTGACTTGAGAGGAGGCGGAGCTAAGGCGGTAATGCCAGTAGTGGGAAGTGCATGTAAATATAGATGAAGCTTCTGCTGCTCGCTGATGCTCACCTCCTGCTGAAATAGCCCAGTTCCTAACAGGCCACAGACCTGTACCGATACCTGGATTATGGGTTGGTGATCCTTGCTTGAGGCAATAAAGTTTGAGATCACAAAAGCCCCTTATGGACGGGACTTCTTACGACAAATCCTGCCGAGAGCTTGGCACATTTGGAACAAAATAAAATCTCTCCACTTCCCAGCGAAGAGATTTGTTAGACCAGACGCCTGCTGTGACCCAAAAATCACTTCCCCTGGATGGTGGCAAGCAAGAGAGAGTGCTTCCTCTTGCTCACAAATCAAGCTCTCAAGAACACAGATCAAGACAAGAGGGAACTTTATCCTGTAACCCTCTCTATGAACAACACAGAAAGACAAAGTCAAAGGAATACACTGTTTCTGGCATGAAAGGGATCAAAAATATGAATATTCATACCACAAAGTAGTGTAAGGTGTACCAGATTCGCTACAGCTAGACTAGTCACACAAAAATCTTTTTCTCCTAGGCATGAAACCTTGTAGAGGAGACAAACAGAGAGATTTGTTTTGTACCATCTGTCCAACTGGGTTGTACACAGAGAGAACCTGGGGGCCTGACTGGTAAGAAATTCTTGCCCTTTTGCCAGCTTGTCAAATGACTGCATTCCCTTAACTGCAGTTTCCAGAAGAGTGGAGTGGCTTTGGTGACCCTTCTTGCTATACCAAATTGTGTGAAGGTTTGCTAAGAAATCAACTCACGAAAGGCAGATTAACAAGAGAAAAAGCATACAAGGCCGGGCGCGGTGGCTCACGCCTGTAATCCCAGCACTTTGAGAGGCCGAGGTGGGCGGATCATGAGGTCAGGAGATCAAGACCATCCTGGCTAATATGGTGAAACCCCGTCTCCACTAAAAATACAAAAAATTAGCCAGGCATGGTGGCGGGCACCTGTCGTCCCAGCTACTTGGGAGACTGAGGCAGGAGAATGGTGTGAACCCGGGAGGCGGAGTTTGCAGTGAGCTGACATCGTGTCACTGCACTCCAGCCTGGGTGACAGAGTGAGACTCTGTCTAAAAAACAAAACAAAACAAAACCGTATGAATTTATTTAACATATATACACTGCAGCCTTTGGAACAAAGGCAGAAAGGTACAGGGTAAATTGTCTATTTATATGCTCAGGTTCAGCAAAGTATGGGCAGCCCTGTAGAAATATGATGGTACAAAAAGGCTATGACCTAATGCTAATCTGGCAGGGCTTGTTTGTCTAGACTGTGCTTGGCTTTGGTGAACACACATTTCTTCCTCCTGGGTATAAGGCAGGACCCTCTCTGTAATGGGGTCTTGTGACCTGCAGTCAGACAAGGTAGGTCAGATCATTTCTTCATGGCCAGTTTTACCCAAAAAAGGTGGAGGAAAGTATTTTTAGGCTTTGTTACTATCTTTAGAAAAAAAGGCTTCTGGTTTCTAGGACCCACCTTGGGGAGGAGGGATTCTGGTCTGTTACAGTTGGCTCTCCGGGAAGAATGGGGCTGAGAGACAGGGGGACCTAGGACCTCAGGAACATCTTTTTCATCTGAGACTACTTCTGGGGCCTTTATTTTGGGGTATTGTGCTCTAAGCCCCAACACTAGAAATCAGCTGCATGTGAAAGTTCATCACTTACAATTTTTACTTTCCTCAAAAACGCTAAGAAAACAATAAAGACCAATCCTTTGCCACTGTAAAACTAGGATTGCCTTTCCTCAAGCTTCCAGTAACATCTTCCTAGTTTCCGTCTGATAACTCACCACAAGCACCTTTAACACTCATAGTTCTAGCAACATATCGGTGATCATGATATATGTATTCTCTAAGTCAGAGATCCTTTCTCTGCAGCGAAGAATTCTTCTCTTAACCCTCACTTGAATGGCATTTGGTGTCCATATTTCCCCCAGCTGTCTCCTAAAGGCCCTCTAGGCTTCTTCTGCCATGCATGTCAAAATGCTTCCAGTCTGTATCCATTATCTAGTTCCAAAGCTGCTTCCACTCTTTCAGGTGTTAGCTATCAGATCTGCTTGGCAACAGAATCCCTATTAAGTTTGCTCTGTTAGCCTGACAATGTACCACAGACCTGGGTGGCTTAAACAGTAGACATTAATTGTTCACAGTTCTGGAGGCTGGAAGTCCAGATCAGAGCATCAGCCGGATTGTTTCCTTCTGAGTAGTGAGAGGGAAGGATCTTTTCCATGGATTTTTCCTCAGCTTGTAGATGGCCCACTTCTCTGTATGCTACTTCACATTTTCTTCCCTGTATGCATGTTTCTTTGTCTGAATTTCCCCTTTTGATAGGCACAATGCATGCTAGCCGTTTCGGGTTAGAGCCCACCCTAATGAATGTAATTTAACTTCAGTATCCCAGTAAAGAATCCATCTTCAAGTAGGAGAGAGATGAGGGGTCAGGAGTCCAATAGAATGTATTTGGTGTTTTTTTGGGGGGTTGGGAGACACAACTGAACCCATAGGACATAGAAATCCTGAGTTGTAGGTGGGAATATCTCCTGCCTCTTCCATTATGTTAAGAAAACACTGGTGACTTATGAAGGGAAATAAGGTAACTCCTACCCATCTTTTTTCAAGACTACTTGAATGTTGGGTAATTTTATACACACATATACGCGCGCACACACACACACATACACACACACACACATATATAAATATATATATAAATGTATATATATATATATATATATATATATAAAATCTGGTTTATTCCATTAAATTATCTCGGTATAATGAGAGTGAAAAAGCTAACGGACATTGTTAGAGACAGAATGTTGATCTGACTAATCCTTATAAAGGGAAACCTAGGAATATAAGAGACAGAAATGACCATGTAGTAAAGGGATTAAATGGAAAATTATTAAATGAAAATCATTGCTGTCCTTGAAGCAAGTTGAGCTATAGATATATTAGAGTTGACAATGTTTAGTTCTCGGAAAAAGGAAGCATGAAAAATCGTCAGGACGCCACGGGCCACCTGCCCCTCCCCTTTATTACCTCCCCCCGCACGAGGTAATAAGAACCCATTAATCTCATGACCTCAGGTCTCAATCACACCCCTTTGTCAAAGTTTATCCCCGTTATTTCTCTGATTCTTACATGAACTCGGAAACTAGCGTTCGCCTTTATTTTACTTGCAGCCTCTCAACAGGTGCCTGCCGTGAGAAAATTAGCCTCTGGGGTAGAGTCGACTTTTGTCCACTGGGGGTCGCAGATCCCAATCCTCAGGGCCTCAAGACTGTGACGCGAAGGAACGAAAGGAAGGATTGGAAGCAGCCTCCTCTGAAAATCCGATACCTCCCCTCCACCGCCTCCACTGTCGCCAGGCGGAAAATTCCCTCTCCCATCTTCTGAACGCAAGCCATAGTGCCTCCTGCACCCCCTTAACCCCCTTACATTTCCTCCGGGAGACCCTCACCCTACCAGCTCTGCAATCCGCCGCACAGAACTCAAGTTCGGATTTGGCTTTGATGACCTGCCAGGGAGAAAGGGACTAGAAGTTGGATAACCTCCCACCCCCATATTTCTTCCCAGGAAGAGATAAGGAGATGCAAAAGGGGTTCAAGACAGCTTGCGATCTTCTCCTCCCGCCCCTTGCCACCTCCCGGAACACCTGCCCTCCCGCCCAACAACACTCCCGCCCACTTCAGTCCAGGCAAATCCTAAATCCTACCCAGTCGGTAGCATCCAGATGAACCACAACTCCTTCCTCAGCGCAACCAGGCCGTGGGAGTGCTCCATCCCCTACCTCGCAGTTACTGATTCTCCAAGCCCGGCGCCGCCCAGTCCTGGAGGGGCTTCCCCCACGCCTCTCCGCGCCGGGCAATCGCGCGCTCTTTCTTTACCTGCGCTCCATTGTTGGGCAGCTTATGCTCCCGCGTGGACAGCTCTGTTTCGCCTTCCGGTCCCCGTAGCTCTGCTGGGGAACAGGATCGCTGGGGCCTCCTGGGCCGATAAACGACCCGGGGCTGCCCGGCCCAGAGAATGTTCCGCACGACCGCCCAGTGACAGGTAGCCGAGTCGAGGCAGCGCGGTTCCCAAGGCAGCCACGGCTGCGCCCACCCTCCAGTTCGGAACTCGGGGCAGTCGCGGTTGCTTTCAGTCTCTGCCAGTTGAGACAAAAGAGCGTGACAAGACGCGCGACGCGGCCAATCACCGGGGCGAGGGTGCTGCCTCCCCGCGCAGCCTCTGGCCCCGAAGCTACTGCTAGCAAGACTCGAGAGCTGGCGGGCGGGGGCTGAAGCCGACAGGCGCGGAAGCCGGCGCGGCGTCAAGTGGAGCTCCGACGCACGGACCAGGCCCATTTCCCTTTCATCTGTGAGTTTGCTGCTACCCCATCGCTTCCCTTCTCCCCATCCCCTTCCGCCTCGGCTCTGCTCCGGGCTTTGAGACCGGATACCTTAAACACGAGGTGGGACAGAAACCAAGTGAACAATGAGAGTTCCTCACCTTTGTATAGGGGGAAGGGGGAAACAGCATTTACTGAGTGCTTTCTGTGTGCGGATGCGCCTGCACGGACGTCTCCTTTCTTATCAGCAGCCGTGTGAAGGAGGTAGCAGCGTACCCATTTAACAGGAAAGGACTGAAGCACCCAGGCAGTACAGTTAGGAAGTGCAGAGCTAAGAGCTCACACCCAAGTTGACATATCTGGCTTCAAAGGCTGCCCCTTGCCAACACTCCTCTATTCTGTTAGATTAAGGGATAGTGGAGAAAAACCAAAGCCAGGATGGGAGGACCAACTTGGGACTGCATACAATTAGTGAGCAAGAACCGTTATCTCCATTTCACAGATGAAGAAACTGAGCCAAAGACAGAGAGGTTAAGCGTCTTGCACTGTATCCTGCAGCAAAGAAGTTACAGCATCCAACTTAGCACCTGTATGTTGATCTCTAGATGCTAATTCTTTGCCCTGCAGGGTTGTCTGAAGAGCATTTTTGCACAGGTAGTCTCAAACCATCTCAACAGCAGTCTCGATGTGATGGTAGTGCTGAGGGAGGGGGTGAGGAGGTAGTGGGGACAGGGCTGAGGGAAGATGAAGGCAACCTTTATGGTGCCCATTGCACAGAAGAGGAAACTCTTCTTGGCACTCTTCTTTCCTTAGTTTTTTTTTTTTTTAAATACTTTTTTTATACTACAAAAGCTGCCTGTTTTATAAAAGCAACATAATTTCGACAGCTCTTTGTGACCCCAAGGGAGGCAAGGCTCAGAGAGGTAAAATGATTTGTCTGAAATTATAAGGTGAAGTAAAAATTTGGACCGAATCTCTGAATCCAGAACTCATACTATTAACTAAAGTATGAGTACAAGGTGGGCTGCCTCAGAATCATTTTGGAGAGCTTGTTATAAATGCAGATTATTGGGCCTTACCCCTGGGGGATTTTGATGTACTAGGACTAGGCATGAAGAGTGTGATTGTAGTTTTAACCAGCCCTGTAGTTGATTCTAAGGTGTAGAGAGATTCGTGAACCACTGTTCTAAACACCACTACGTGATGCTGAAGGTTATAAGTAAATGGGCCTGTTATCAGTGTATCTGTCCATGGCATATCTGTCATGAAATGTAACTCCAGAGCACAGATTCCTACCCGTGGTCCTTCCTGGAATTGTATGCAAAGAATCTGGACTCCGTACATTCTTCCGAGTCCACAGCTTTGCAGATTTTCAAATAGGTCTGTCATAACATCTTCCTTCTTCAAGCCATGCTTGACGAAGAAGTGTGAGAAATAAAACCCCATTTAACCTAACCCCCAAACCACAGCTCTCTGTTGCTGATATAGCTCTTTCATTTCCTGGCTCAAGGACAGGTTGCTAGGTTGCCCTTCTGTGAGCTCTTCAGGGGACTTCTCCTTTGCTGGATTTGGCATCACTGGCCCCAGAGAAGGAGCAACTCCATGGAAACGGCATGCAGGGTTGTCCAAAGTGAATGGCCGTGAAGGCAGTGGCTGGAAAACCTGCTCCATTTTTCCCTGACTTAGAGAGCAGGTATTACTTCCTTTATGTATAGTGTGGCTAGGAGGCTCCTGTGGGGCCTGTTCTTGACTCCTGATGCTTGGAAGCAAGTGAACAGTTTGATACCCTTCCGCTGCCATTGGCTTCATCTTCAGCCTGCCAAGGCACTTCACTCACTCATTTCCACCCTCTTATTTACAACTCCAAGATCTAGAGTTCCTTGGAGTAAACAATGCAAATTTGGAGATGAAGCACCTTCCATCTCAGGATTGTGGCCTGTGGATGGAACAGTGGGATAGTGGTGGTGGAAGGTGGAAAGTGTGGATGTATGGATAAGGCAGGTTGCTCACCTCGCACACTCAAGGGTGATGCTGGCAGTAGCACTTAGGTTTCCTTCAGACTTTTGCTTCTGCTCCCCTGTCCCATGACATCTGACTCTTGCCTCCCAGAAGACTCTTGTTCAGTGTTTAAATTGGCTTCATCATCAAATTAGGTATTTGCAGCTGGACTTGGTAGGAGTGGAATCACATAAGACCAAGAATAAGTGGACAAAAATAGTGACAGGAAATGGACTGTGTAAAGGTGCCAGGGTTGGGCTACTGGAACAAAGCGAGGGACTCTTCGTGCAGGGATTGGGGGCGTATTTGCAACCTGGCTCCAATTGAATACAGGACATCCTATCTCTGGCCTCATGTGTGTGAGTGTGTTCCAACTGATGGCTCCAATGAGACCACATTTTGTAATTTTAACACATAAACCTTAAAAGCTTGAAGGTTTGGAGATAAAGCTTTCAGCTGAAACAATAATAGCTGCCTTTGGCTGCCTTCCTCCTTTGTGCCAGGAACTTTCTATCTGTTATCTCATTTAAGCTTCCCAGCAACACTGTTAAGACAGTCATTGTATCCTATTTTGCAGAGAGGGAAACTGAATTTCAGGGACGTTAAGTAACTTGTGTTAGGCTTAAACTTTTAAGTGGAGGCACTGGGACTGCAGGCCAGGGATGTCAAACTCCAAAGCCCATGAAAACTCTTCTTTCTTGCCTTCCAAAAAAGTCTAAAATGCATTCTGCAGATGACCTAGTTCATTAGACCAATTGCAGCCTTTAGAATAATTTAGTTGTTATCTTGCCTTTATTCCCATTATCTCTTTATTTTTTTATTTTTTTTTAAGACAGAGTCTTGCACTGTCGCCCAGGCTGGAGTGCAGTGGTGCGATCTCGGCTCACTGCAAGCTCTGCCCTATTATCTCATTATTTATTTATTTATTTATTTATTTATTTATTTATTATTAGTGTTATACTTTAAGTTCTAGGGTACATGTGCACAACATGCAGGTTTGTTACTTATGTATACATGTGCCATGTTGGTGTGTTGCACCCATTAACTCGTCATTTACATTAGGCATATCTCCTAACGCTATCCCTCCTCCCTCCCCCCACCCCACAACAGGCCCCAGTGTGTGATGTTCCCCATCCTGTGTCCAAGTGTTCTCATTGTTCAATTCCCACCTATGAGTGACAACATGTGGTGTTTGGTTTTCTGTTCTGGCGAAAGTTTGCTGAGAATGATGGTTTTCAGCTTCATTCATGTCCCTACAAAGGACATGAATTCATCCTTTTTTATGACTGCATAGTATTCCATGATGTATATGTGCCACATTTTCTTAATCCAGTCTATCATTGATGGACATTTGGGTTGGTTCCAAGTCTTTGCTATCTTGAATAGTGCCACAATAAACATACGTGTGCATGTGTCTTTATAGCAGCATGATTTATAATCCTTTGGGTATATACCCAGTAATGGGATGGCTGAGTCAAATGGTATTTCTAGTTCTAGATCCTTGAGGAATCGCCACACTGTCTTCCACAATGGTTGAACTGGTTTACAGTCCCACCAACAGTGTAAAAGTGTTCCTATTTCTCCACATCCTTTCCAGGACCTGTTGTTTCCGGATTTTTTAATGATTGCCATTCTAACTGGTGTGAGATGGTGTCTCATTGTGGTTTTGATTTGCATTTCTCTGATGGCGAGTGATGATGAGCATTTTTTTATGTGTCTGTTGGCTGCATAAATGTCTTCTTTTGAAAAGTGTCTGTTCATATCCTTTGCCCACTTTTTGATGGGGTTGTTTGATTTTTTCTTGTAAATTTGTTTAAGTTCTTTTTAGATTCTGGATATTAGCCCTTTGTCAGATGGGTAGGGTGCAAAAGTTTTCTCCCATTATGTAGGTTGCTGTTCACTCTGATGGTAGTTGCTTTTACTGTGCAGAAGCTCTTTAGTTTAATTAGATCCCATTTCTCAATTTTGGCTTTTGTTGCCATTGCCTTTGGTGTTTTAGACATGAAGTCCTTGCCCGTGCCTATGTCCTGAATGGTATTGCCTAGGTTTTCTTCTAGGGATTTTATGTTTTTAGGTCTGACATTTAAGTCTTTAATCCATCTTGAATTCATTTTTGTGTAAGGTGTAAGGACGGGATCCAGTTTCAGCTTTCTACATATGACTAGCCAGTTTTCCCAGCACCATTTATTAAATAGGGAATCTTTTCCCCATTTCTTGTTTTTGTCAGATTTGTCAAAGATCAGATGGTTGTAGATGTGTGGTATTATTTCCAAGGGCTCTGTTCTGTTCCATTGGTCTATATCTCTGTTTTGGTACCAGTACCATGCTGTTTTGGTCACTGTAGCCTTGTAGTATAGTTTGAAGTCAGGTAGCCTGATGCCTCCACCTTTGTTCTTTTGGCTTAGGATTGTCTTGGCTATGCGGGCTCTTTTTTGGTTCCGTATGAACTTTAAAGTCGTTTTTTCCAATTCTGTGAAGGAAGTCATTGGTAGCTTGTTGGGGATGGCATTGAATCTATAAATTACCTTGGGCATTATGGCCATTTTCACAATTTTGATTATTTCTATCCATGAGCATGGAATGTTCTTCCATTTGTTTGTGTCCTCTTTTATTTCATTGAGCAGTGGTTTGTAATTCTCCTTGAAGAGGTCCTTCACATCCCTTGTAAGTTGGATTCCTAGTATTATCTCATTTTTAAAAATGAAATTATTAATATAACTTATGGAGCAACTTATATACCAGGTGCTGTGCTAAGCACTTTCCATACTTTGTCTCATGCATCCTTCATGACAATGATTTTACATATAAAGATACTGAGGATCAGAGAGGTGAAGAAACTTGGCCAAGGTTATAAAGCTAGGAAGTGACAGAGTGAAATTCAAACCCAGGGCTGGCTGAATTCAGAGCCCATGTCTGTGCCCTAGGACACAATGCAGTGGGGAAGACAAATGTGGTCCTCATTCTAAATAGGCTCCTCTCTGTCAACCACTGCTCTATTTCCTTCTCACCACATGGCGTAGGCCATCCCCATGCACAACTCACACTTTTAAGCCTATGTGCCTTAGGTCACGTTCTCAGCCTAGAATGCTTGCTCTCACTCCTCTACCTAACAAGACCCTATGCTACTCTATTCAGTTAAGGACTGTGTCATATGCCCCTTCTCAGAGAAGTTTCTTGGGTGCTCCTCGTCCCAGGAGGAATAAATTGCTCTTGTCTTTTTGCTTCCACCTTCATTAGTGTACCCTTTATTTTGTCTTTCTGTAGAGTTTAGCTCATTGTTTACCTGTCTCCCCTACTAGATTCCCAGGCACTTGAGGATAGGCACCAAATTCTATTCACTCTAGCTCCATGGTGGTTTACCCACAATGATTTAGTGGATGATCAGTACATGTTTGTGAGCTGACCAAAGGACTGGCTGAGAGATGCCCCGAATGAACAGACAAACGCATTCATTTGTGGCTGGATCCTGGGGCAATCACACAGGCTACCCATGTGGACTAGACTGGCTGGGAGAATCTGGAATCCCCTGGGCTCATTTTACTAGTCTGTAAACATAGGAGGCAGGTCAGGGTACAGGTGATATCTGCTCAAGGCCAACTGTAGGTCCATTCTGTGGTCTGTACTTTGAATTCAGGTCAAGGGGCCAGGCTCTCCTAGATTATTTATGTTGTGCCTTCCCATTTGTGGAAGAAAGGGCTTCTCTGCCTCCCTTAGGAACACAAGTTGTGTTCCTACATGCCTCTTTATCTGCTTCTGGCTGTCCTGAGAGTGTCTGGAAAGAGAATGCGCTCTGTGGAGACAGATAGTGAGGTACAGAAGCATCTTTTTTTTTTTTTTTGATATCTTTTATCGAGGCCACCGTGTTATGGATTCTCAACCACTTTATCTCATTTTATGTTGTTAATCTCTGCCACAATGTTTTGAGGTGGGTCTTAATGTCCCTGTTTTGTAGCTGAAGAACCTGAGACTGAATGAAATGTCTTGCCCGAGGTCACACAGTTAAGTAAGTGGCAGAGGCAGAATTCAGTCTTGGGTCTGTCTGCCCTTTCCAAAGCCTGGCATCTTAACAGAAAATACATTGGAGAAACATGATCTTCAGTCCCATAAAATGGAAAGGATTGGATTTATACAATGGATTACATATTTAAGGTGAGATGTTTCTCAATTATTGATCACTTTTAGTCCCCTGCAATGATTTACAAAAATGGCAGAAGGAGTCGGAGATTAAAAAGTACAATTCCTCTATCAAGTACTGGACTACTGGCCTGAATGCCCCCATATCAACCCCCTCTGACAGATATGGTATGGAGATGACTCCAAATTATTTTGCCCTTTCTGCTCCTTTTACAGCTCAGGTGGGTAAGGCTCCAAGATGTTACTGAATTTCTAAAGGTCACACATCAAGTTAATAACAAAACTCACTTAGAATGCTAGTATCTCATACTACCCCACCTGCTTCCTGGCCTTTCTGGGGTAGGTGCAATAGTTAGGAGTCCTTGCACTGCCAAATCCTAGCCCAGTTTTCTTTCTGCTAAATCGCCCTACCTTATGGTGTCAGTGAACACATGTTTATAAATGGTAGGGAGGAAGTGGAACATTATTGCACTCTGAGGTAGAAGAAAGGACAAATATTTGCCTCACCACCTGTCCTTATTTAGGTGAAGGTAAGACTTTGGAAAGAAGATCTTTGGTAGGAGAGCTGAGGACTGTTGGGGGCTCCTGTGGATTTAGCGGCCTGGGTATCTGGGAGGAGTCTCCTTTGGCTCTGGAGAAATGGAAGTGGGGCTGCCAGGGGCCAGAGGTGCCCCAGAGGGATGCAAATAGTGGGCCTCTTGAACTTTTACTCCTGCTCATTTCTCAGCTAAAGGGTAAGAGGCAGAGGGGCCCTCCCAGTTTACTGGCCATGAGCATTAAGGAGGCTGAGGCTTAAGGCCATCATGGAATACGGAGGACGGGGAGGTGGTGATGGGCCAAGCGCAGGAGGCTGAGCCTCCATATCTCTCCACCAAGAGGTGAGTGTGGCTGGGAGTGGTGGTAAAGTGAGATTGTGGGAAAGTGGATGGAGCAGGGGGGTATGAATGAGATTGTGGGGATATGGATGGAGCGGGGTGGGGTATGAATGAGATTGTGAGGATATGGATGGAGCAGGGGGGATTGAATGAGATTGAGGGGATATGGATGGAGCGGGGGGTATGAATGAGACTGTGGGGATATGGATGGGGCGGGGGGACAGGAATGGGATTGTGGGGAGATGGATGTAGCAGGGAGAAGGGGCTAGGGAAGAGCAGAGCTGATGGGAGTGATTCTGGAAGGAATAGTACGCCAAGGTGGATTCTTGGCCTGGCAGCCCTGGGAAGGCTGCACTGGGCTTCTTGCAGTGTGTGGCTTCTACTCCTCCCTGGGGACCTCATCCTGGACTCTGTGGTCCCCCATCGGTCTGCTAGCTTAATTAGAGTCCCAACCTTCACACCCTCCACCACATAGCCCAGGGTTCTGAGGGGAACCTGTGGGTCTGCTGTTCCTGCCAGGCTTCCTGTCCCTGTCACTGTAGATGGAAGCCCTCCAGACTGGCCATCATGCCCCTCCCCCTCTCCCTTGTCCTCCTGCCCCACACCCACACAGCTCTGTGCTCTTTCCCTGAGGTGCCAGCTCTGGCTGTTGCACACCCTGTCTCGTCAGCCCAGGGACCCCCTCTTTCCTTCCCGGCAAACTTCCTCAGATCTGCTCTGAGCATTCATTTTTTTTCGATCCCAAAGTTCCTTGATATGTCCTGGCTTCCAAGTTGCTTCTCATACTAGCCATCTGCTTCCCGGCCTTTCTGGGATAAGAAGCAATAGTTTGGAGTCCTTGCACTGCCTATTCTATATAGTATAGTGGTTCTGAGCCGGGAACAGTTTTGCCTCCCAGGGGACATTTGGCAAGGTCTCAAGATATTTTTGGTCGTCACACTGGGTATGTCACCACTGGTGCTACTGGCACACACTGAGTCAAAGCCAGGGAGCCTCTGAATATCCTCCAATGCACAGGACAGGGACCAAGAATAAAAAATTATCCTGCCCAAAATGTCAATAGCACGGAGTTTAAGAAACCCTGCTCTGTTATATAACTACAAGTCTAAAAGGTTAGGTTTGGAAATTGCCAGGTGTTGATCCTTTAGGCACTGAACTTCCAAGAGTAGCTGCTCTTTCCCTTCCCCACTTGCCGGAGAGGGGCTGGGCATTGCCATGAAACATCTACAACTTGGGCAGAAATCTATGGAGAGAAAGGTGAGGGGAGATTCCCCCTCTCCAAATTTAATACCAACTTCTAGAGAAAGCATTGCACTTCAACTGTTAAATGCCTTTCTTCTTCTGCAAGACAGTGCCAGTTTTTTTTGAAACAGAATAGCAACTTATTATTCTAGTAGTTTATAAAATGGACAGTTTTATGTCATGAAAGTTGATGCATTAGGTTTTGGAGTCTTCCCCTCCTCTATTTCATGTTCTTCAGTTGTAATCCTTCTTTGAATATTGGAATATTTGCTGTGTCAGCAAAATACTGTAGTGGTGGCTCTGTTCAGAAAAACTGATTGCCTTTCTTTTAATTTAAGGTTAATGAATTCTTAATTTCTTAAGGGTGTGCTTATATATCAGAAACTGGCTCAAAGAATTGCTTGTTTCTGTTGAGCTGAGTTTCTTAGGGTTCATTTCCAATTAAGCAATGAAAATGCTTGCCAACAGAATTAATTGGTCGGTCTAATCTCTTTTTTTACCACCCTTGCCTGTTTCTTCCATCTGCACACAGTTGTCTTCAGCATGGGGGAGCAGAACCACTCTCCCGGGAAGGAGCTTCAGCCCAGGACACGTGCAGAGGCTCCAGGAAAGAAAAGCTGGCATTCCCAGGCCTATGCCCTTGGGGCCGTTTCCAACTCTATGTCTACTTTTCTGACCTTTCCTATCTATAAGTTTGTGTTCCGGCAACAGATCCATGCCATGGCAGTGTCAGAGGCTGTGAGACAGCTTTGGCGCGAAGGTCCTCAATACTTCTACTGGGGAACCTACCCTCCTCTTCTCTCCAAGACGTTGCAAAGGACTCTTCTGTTTGGGACTTATGATAGCCTGCTGTGCTTTCTCTCTCCTGTTGGGCCACATACCCTGGGACACCACTGGGTTGCAGGGGTCATGTCTGGCCTGGTGGAGGCTGTGGCACTCAGCCCCTTTGAAAGGGTGCAAAATGTACTCCAGGATGGTCACAAGCAAGCTCGCTTCCCCAGCAGCTTCAACATTCTTGAAGAATGCAATTCTTATGGGCTTTGGGGGCAGCTGTCACGGGGCTACTACCGTGGTTTCTGGCCTGTCCTGGCCAGGAACAGCCTGGGGAGTGCTCTATATTTTTCTTTCAAGCACCCCATCCAGGATGGCCTGGCAGAGCAAGGCCTGCCCCATTGGGTTCCTGCCTTGTTGTCTGGTAGTGTCAATGAAACAATCACCTGCCTAGTTCTGTATCCTCTGATTGTGCTGGTTGGTAATATGCAGTCCCATATTGGATGGCAGAGCATGCCAAGCCTGTGGGTCTCTGCCCAGGATGTGTGGAACACTTGGGGCCAAAAGCTACTCCTGATCCTCCTGATCTACCGTGGAGGCTCCCTGGTCATCCTAAGGTCCAGGGTGACATGGGGCCTCACTACAGCAATCCATGAGTATCTGTAGAGGAAGTCACACTCCAGGAAAGAGCTGAAGACTGACTAGCTGCAGAAAGTGTGGCCATGCCATCTTTGTTATTCTAAATCTTCCCTGCTTGGTTCTATGTAGCTTACTTCTTTGGCTCAGTTGCCTAATACTTTAGCATCTGTAAACTCATTGCATGGGAGAAGTTCCCAACTACCAACCTGTTGAGCAAGGACAAAGCCCAACAGGATTCCTTAGTCAAAAAGAAACGTTCGCCCCAGTCTCTCCACAGCTTCAGTAGCCTCAGAGCCAGGAGGCCTTTAAATAACGTGTAACACAGATTAAGTGTCATTCATTTAAGGAATTCCTTGGCAATAAGCAGAAACTTAAAAGATGACCTTATTTAGGCACTTTGAGCTCTGGGACCCCTCTAGGTGTCCTCCAGACCAAATTGAGTGGAACTCCAATTTCAAAGAACTATGCTTGACTCTTAGGATGGGAATTCCATAAAACTTCTCAGATGGCTACATTTTCATGACATTGTTCACTGCCTCTACCACCACCTCTCACTTCTCAAGGCTGTGGGTCCTACTTTTAGGGTAGCAGCTGTGACTGGAAATCCCAAATTAGGCTTGCGTGAACTCATCAGGTGCCACAAGAACTAGTGGGGCTGGAGATGGGAGTGTGAAGAAGTATGGCCCATGGATGGAAAGGATAAAACTTCGAAAGAAGAGATTTAATTACATGCAAAATAGAAACATTTGCTATAGTCTGCTTGGTGTTATTTGCTAGGACATTTCTGACAGCAAAGTGATAACATTGCCTAGAAACTATTTTAGTTTCCCTAAGAAACCTGGAAGTGAAGTGACCATATCTCTTCACAGATAATTGCATATTTTGTTGATGTGGTAAATGTAGTTAGTATGACATAAAGATCAGAAATCTTAGCCTGTCATTCAGAGCCTTTCAAAATACGGTCCTCATATAACTTTCAACATATTGTCACCCCACTTACATAAACCCCAAACACTAGCCATAATGAACTCTTGTTCTCTCCCCAGACATTCCATGAACTTTCCCATGGCCATACTTTGGCCCACACTATTCTTTCCACCTGCAGTGCTCCTTCTTCACATGCCAGTCTACCAGAATCCTTCCAGCTCCTCAAAGCCCAGTTCAGAGGTCACCTTCTCTATGGAGCCTCTTGATTTCCCCCAACTGAATGCGACATTAGTCTCTGTGATGCCCTTTTCTAACAGCACTTCATACATGGTACTGATTCTATTATGTCACTAATCTCATGTGACTCTGTTCTTGTATTCTTCAATACCTCCTACTAGACCATAGAACTTATTGAAAGCAGGGATTCTTGTATGCATTTTTAAATCTTCCATTGTGCCTAGGTGCTCAATAACGTTGGTCGAATTATTGAATTTATTATCAAGCTGTGATGTGGTATATTCTCTGGGTACTGTCCCTTGTACACGAAGATAAACTTATTGACTCACTGTCAGCAGGACACATGCCTTTGGGCTGTGTTTTTGTTTTCTTTTAATAGCGGATTTAGTTTTGTGCTAATGATAATGATGCTTCTACTGATGATAATAGTAATAATAAAAAATTACTTTCAACTGGAACATTTGATGAGTTTGTGTTACTGATGGCATGTTTGCTATTAGCACCAGTTCAGGAACTGAAACTTCTCAAACAGATTCACAATGTATAACTGTCCTATTTGTTTCAACTCTGGGGTTTTGAGGATTTCCAAGATGACATGTGTTATAGTTTCCCCCTACAGATAATTTTGTATTTTTAGTAGAGATGGGGTTTCTCCATATTGGTCAGGCTGGTCTCGAACTCCCAACCTCAGGTGATCCACCTGCCTTGGCCTCCCAAAGTGCTGGGATTACAGGCATGAGTCACCACGCCCAGCTTCCATATGAAATTCAGAGTAGTTTTTTTCTAATTCTGTGAAGAAAGTCAATGGTAGCTTGAAGGGAATAGCATTGAACCTATAAATTACTTTGGGCAGTATGGCCATTTTCATGATATTGATTCTTCCTATCCATGAACATTGTGAACATGGAATGTTTTTCCATTTGTTTGTGTCCTCTCTTATTTCCTTGAGCAGTGGTTTGTAGTCCTCCTTGAAGAGGTCCTTCACATCCCTTTTAAGTTAGATTCCTAGGTATTTTATTATCTTTGTAGCAATTATGAATGGGAGTTTGCTCATGATTTGGCTCTCTGTTTGACTATTATTTGTGTATAAGAATGCTTATGATTTTTGCACATTGATTTTGTATCCTGAGACTTTGCTGAAGTTGCTTATCAGCTTAAGGAGTTTATGGGCTGAGACCATGGGGTTTCTAAATATACAATCATGTCATCTGCAAACAGAGACAATTTGACTTCCTTTCTTCCTATTTGAATACACTTTATTGGTTTCTCTTGCCTGATTGCCCTGGCCAGAACTTGCAATACTATGTTGAATAGGAGTGTTGAGAGAGGGCATCCTTGTCTTGAACCAGTTTTCAAAGGGAATACTTCCAGCTTTTGTCCATTCAGTATGATATTGGCTGTGGGTTTGTCATAAATAGCTCTCATTATTTTGAAATATGTTCCATCAATTCCTTGTTTATTGAGTGTTTTTAGCATTAATGGTGTTGAATTTTATCAAAGGCCTTTTCTGCATCTATTGAGATAATCATATGGCTTTTGTCATTAGCTCTGTTTATGTGATGGATTACATTTATTGATTTGCGTGTGTTGAACCAGCCTTGCACCCCAGGGATGAAGCTGACTTGATTGTGGTGGATAAGCATTTTAATGTGGTGCTAGATTCGTTTTGCCAGTATTTTATTGAGGATTTTCACATTGATGTTCACTAAGGATGTTGGCCTGAAATTTTCTTTTTTTGTTGTGTCTCTGCCAGGTTTTGGTGTCAGGATGATGCTAGCATCATAAAATGAGTTAGGGAGGAGCTCATCTGTTTCTATTGTTTGGAATAGTTTCAGAAGGAATGGTACAAGCTCCTCTTTGTACCTCTGGTAGAACTCGGCTGTGAATCCATCTGGTCCTGAGCTTTTTTTGGTTGGTAGGCTATTAATTACTGCCTCAATTTCAGAACTTGTTATTGGTCTATTCAGGGATTCGAGCTCTTCCTGGTTTAGTCTTCGGAGGGTGCATGTGTCCAGGAATTTATCCATTTCTTCCAGATTTTCTAGTTTATTTGCATAGAGGTATTTATAGTATTCTCTGATGGTAGTTTGTATGTCTGTGGGATCAGTGGTGATCTCCCCTTTATCTTTTTTTAATTGTGTCTATTTGATTCTTCTCTCTTTTCTTCTTTACTAGTCTGGCTAGAGGTCTATCTATTTTGTTATTTTTTTTCAAAGAACCAGCTCCTGGATTCATGGATTTTTTGAAGGATTTTTTGTGTCTCTATCACCTTCAGTTCTGCTCTGATCTTAGTTATTTCTTGTCTTCTGCTAGCTTTTGAATTTGTTTGTTCTTGCTTCTCTAGTTCTTTTAATTATGATGTTAAGGTGTCGATTTTAGATCTTTCCTGCTGTCTCCTGTGGGCATTTAGTGCTATAAATTTCCCTCTACACACCGGTTTAGCTGTGTCCCAGAGATTGTGGTACTTTTTATCTTTGTTCTCATTGGTTTCAGAGAAGTTATTTATTTCTGCCTTAATTTCATTATTTACACAGTAGTCATTCAGGAGCATGTTGTTTAGTTTCCATGTAGTTGTGCGGTTTTGAGTGAGTTTCTTAATCCTGAGATCTAATTTGATTGCACTGTGGTCTGAGAGACTGTTATGATTTCCGGTCTTTTGCATTTGCTGAGGAGTGTTTTACTTCCAATTATGTGGTCGATTTTAGAATAAGTGCTATGTGGTGCTGAGAAGAATGTATAATCTGCTGATTTGGATGGAGTTCTATATATGTCTATTAGGTCCGCTTGGTCCAGAACTGAGTTCAAGTTTTGAATATCCTTGTTAGTTTTCTGTCTCGTTGATCTGTCTAACATTGAAAGTGGGTTGTTAAAGTCTCCCACTATTATTGTGTAGGAGTCTAAGTCTCTATGTAGGTCTCTAAGAATTTGCTTTATGAATCTGAGTGCTCCTGTATTGGGTGCACATATATTTAAGATAGTTAGCTCTTCTTGTTGCATTGATCCCTTTACCATTATTTAATTCCCTTCTTTGTCTTTTTTGATCTTTGTTGGTTTAAAGTCTGTATTATCAGAGAGTAGGATTGCAACCCCTGCTTATTTTTGCTTTCCATTTGCTTGATAAATCTTCCTCCATCCCTTTATTTTGAGCCTATGTGTGTCTTTGCACATGAGATGGGTCTCCAGAATACAGCACACTGATGGGTCTTGACTCTTTATCCAATTTGCCAGTCTATGGCTTTTTAATTGTGGTATTTATCCCATTTACATTTAAGGTTAATATTGTTATGTGTGAATTTGATCCTGTCATTATGATGCTAGCTGGTTATTTTGCCCATTAGTTAATGCAGTTTCTTATAGTGTCGATGGTCTTTACATTTCGGTTTGTTTTTGCAGTGGCTGGTTCCAGTTTTTCCTTTCTGTATTTAGTTCTTCCTTCAGGAGGTGTTGTAAGGCAGGCCTGATGGTGACAAAATCCCTTAGCATTTGCTTGTCTCTAAAGGATTTTATTTCTCCTTTGCTTATGAAGTTTTATTTGGCTGGAGGTGAAATTCTGGTTTGAAAATTCTTTTCTTTAAGAATGTTGAATATTGGCCCCACTCTCTTCTGGCTTGTAGGATTTCTGCAGAGAGATTTGTTGTTAGTCTAATGGTCTTCCCTTTGTGGGTAATCCGACCTTTCTCTCTGGCTCCCCTTAACATTTTTTCCTTCATTTCAACCTTGGTGAATCTGACAATTATGTGTCTTGGAATTGCTCTTCTCGAGGAGTATCTTTGTGGTGTTCTCTCTATTTCCTGAATTTGAATGTTGGCCTGCCTTGCTATGTTGGGTAAGTTCTCCTGGATAATATCGTCAAGTGTGTTTTCCAACTTGGTTCCATTCTCCCCATCACTTTCAGGTTCGCCGATCAAATATAGGTTTGTTCTTTTCACATAGTCCCATATTTCTTGGAGCCTTTTTTTTTTGTTCCTTTTCATTCCTTTTTCTCTAATCTCGTCTTCATGCTTCATTTCATTAAGTTGATCTTCAATCTCTGTAATCCTTTGGAGGAGAAGAGGCTTTCTGGTTTTTGCAATTTTCAGCCTTTTTGCATTGTTTTTCCTTCATCTTCGTGGATTTATCTACCTTTGGTCTTTGCTGTTGGTGACCTTTGGATGGAGTTTTTGCGTGTTTGTCCTTTTTGTTGCTGTTGATGGTATTGCTTTCTGTTTGTTGGTTTTCCTTCTATTAGTCAGGCCACTCTTCTGCAGGTCTGCTGGAGTTTCCTGGGGGTCCACTCCAGACCCTGTTTATCTGGGTATCACCAGTGGGGGCTGCAGAACCGCAAAGATTGCTTCCTGCTCCTTCCTCTGGAAGCTTTGTCCCAGAGGGGCACCTGCCAGATGCCAGCTGGAGCTGTCCTGTATAAGGTGTCTGTTGACCCCTGCTGGGAGGTGTCTCCGTGTCAGGAGGCACAAGGGTCAGGGACCCACTTGAGGAGGCAATCTGTCCCTTAGCAGAGCTACAGCACTGTGCTGGGATATCTGCTTCTCTCTTCAGAACCAGCAGGCAGGAATGTTTAAGTCTGCAGAAACTGCACCCACAGCCGCCCCTTCTCCGTGCTCTGTCTCAAGGAGATGGGGGTTTTATCTATAAGCCCCTGACTGGGGCTGCTGCCTTTCTTTCAGAGATGCCCTTCCCAGAGAGGAGGAATCTAGAGAGGCAATCTGGCTGCAGCGACTTTGTGGCATTGCAGTGGGCTCTGCCCAGTCAGAACTTTCCAGAGGCTTTGTTTATATTGTGAGGGGAAAACCCGTCTACTCAAGCCTCAGTAATGGCAGACCCCCCACTCTCCCACCAAGGTCGAGCGTCCCAGGTCGACTTCAGACTTCTGTGCTGGCAGCAAGAACTTCAAGACAGTGGATCTTAGCTTGCTGGGCTCTGTGAGACTGGGATCCGCTGAGCAAGACCACTTGGCTCCCTGGCTTCAGTCCACTTTCCAGAGGAATGAACGGTTCTGTCTTGCTGGTGTTCCAGGCTTCACTGGGGTATGAAAAAAAACTCCTGCAGCTAGCTCGGTGTCTGCCCAAACAGCCGCCCAGATTTGTGCTTGAAGCCCAGGGCCCGTGTGGTGTAGACACCTGAGGGAATTTCCTGGTCTTTAGGTTGCAAAGACCTTGGGAAAAGCGTAGTATCTGGGCCAGATAGCACAGTCCCTCATGGCACAGTCCTTCATGGCTTTAGGGAGGGAGTTCCCCGACCCCTTGAACTTCCTGGGTGAGGCAATGCCCCACCCTGCTTCTGCTCGCCCTCTGTGGGCTGCACTCACTGTCTAACCAGTCCCAATGAGATGTACCGGTTACCTCAGTTGGAAATGCAGAAATCACCCACCTTCTGCATTGGTCTCGCTGAGAGCTGCACACTGGAGCTGTTCCTATTCAGCCATCTTGCCCAGGAGTCTTGCATTCCTTTTTTATAGCTT